CCCATTCCCATCCCCATCCCCATTCCCATCACCATCACCATCCCCATCCCCTTCCCCATCCCCATTCCCATTCCCATCCCCATTCCCATTCCCATTCCCATTCCCATCCCCATCCCCATCCCCATCCCCATCCCCATCCCCATTTCCATTTCCTTTTCCTTTTCCATTTCAATTTCCATTTCAATTTCCATTTCCATTTCCATTTCCATTCCCATTCCCATTTCCATTCCCATTCCCATTCCCATTCCCATTCCCATCCCCATCCCCATCCCCTTCCCCATCCCCAATCCCATTTCCATTTCCATTTCCATTTCCATTTCCATTTCCATTTCCATTTCCATTTCATTTCCATTTCCATCCCCATCCCCATCCCCATCCCCATCCCCATTCCCATCCCCATCCCCATCCCCATCCCCATCCCCATCCCATTCCCATTCCCATCCCCATTCCCATTCCCATTCCCATTCCCATCCCCATTCCCATTCCCATCCTGTAGCTGAGGAAAGGGCTTTTAACCCTTTAAGTGCAGCAGAAATAAGATGCTCAGCTACACGATTGTCTTCCATGACAGGAAGAAAGAGCCAAGTTTATTCACAAACACTCTTGGTTTTATAGCAGGACTGCAACTCCCAGAGCAGAGAAAAGGAGATTGGTTCAGAGAGAAGACACCCCATGGCCAGGGGTTCTATCTTTGTTATTAATTCCTTTTTATTGTGACCAAATTATCACCTTGGCAGAAATTCTCCCTAGCCTTGAGCTGGGCCAGCTCATGGGCTGGGAACAGAGCTGAAAAAAACCTGGAATATTTTTCAGGCTGTAATTTTCTTATTTTCTCAGTATATGTCCCATCCCATCCCCATTCCCATCCCCTGATTCCTGGAAAGGCTGATCTGGAACAGAGGCTGGACAGAAATAAAGGAATAAAGTGGAAATTTATTAAAAAGGCCTTAAAAAGATTCACCTTGGGTAGCACAAGAGCCTGGCCAGGGCTACACCCAAGATGGACCCAAATCATGAATTTTTACACTTTTATAAGTTTTGATCCATTTCCATATTGGGGTTAAATTACAGCTTTGGGTTATGAAGTCTCATCCTCCTGGCTTGCCCCCTTCTCTCACTTTTTGGGCAATTGTCCTTGATTCTCAAGCTGGGGAAGGATTGTTGTGTCTAACTAAGCTGTTAGAGGGGTTTAGCTGGGACAAGAATTAAAGGAGGAGAACTTGCTGACACTTAATGTGAAGTTCAGAGTTATACACCAAGGCAGCACAGAATGAAAAATAGAAATGGATGAAAGTATATGAAATATATTAATATATTTGAAATATGACAAATGGAAAAGCTGAAAGTGAGGGCACCAGCCAGGCCCCTCAGGCTGACAAACCCCAGCCTTGGCACAGGCTGCTATCACTGCTGGGATCTGCCTTTCTCTAAACAGTCTGAGCAAGGGCTAAAAGGAAAAAATGTCTAAAATGTGACATCAATCATGGCTTTAATACCGGGGGAAAAACCACAGCTGGCACCTGCACCTTGCTCAGGAGCTGGGCTCTGTGGAGTGCTGGGGCTGCTCCTGCTGCCCTGAGCTCTGCCCATCCCAAGGGCTTTTCCTGCTCAAAAAAAAAAAAAAAAAAAAATAAAAAACCCCAATTCCCCACTCTGCTGGAGGAGCTGAGTGCTGTGCCACGATCACACAAACAAGCAGAGGTGACCCCCGAGGGGCTCCTTCCCTCGTGGCCCTCTTCCATTTATTTAACATTAACAGCCAAAGGATCAGATTCAAAGCAATTGCGTGGAGCTTTCCCCTTCTCTCTGCAGGAGAGGGATGTTTATTTGAACCTCTCTCAGAAGCTATTAATAATTGTTTAGTCTGAGAACATTTTTGGAGAATCGTTTGAATCAGGCCTTCCCTCACCCCCTGTGCTGCTGCCTATGATTTTTGGGTTTTGGGTTTTTTTTTTTGTTTTTTTTTAGATGAGCTGAATTTCTTCCCCTTTAATTCAAGAGCAGGTAGAGGCACAGAGCCTCACCTGGCTCCTCAGCAGTCCATGACTGCTCATCCCTCAGCCACTCAATCAGGGAGATAAATGAGTTAATTCAGGGGAAAAAAAAAAAATAACCTGGATGGCAAAGACGGAGAAAAATGTGGGGACAGGAGCCAGTGGGGTCTGGATGGGAATGGATCAGTAGGAATCAAACACTTCAAGGATTGGCCTCAGAAAATCAGGACATGGCTGGGGGCCATCCTGTCTTCTGCTCTGGTGGCCCAGGAGGGCTTCTCTGAGCCCCATCAGCAGAGGTTTTATTTTATTTTTTAGCAGATTTTTTTATTAGCAGATCTGCATTAGCAGATTTTTTATTTTTTATTAATTTTCCTTAGCCAGGAATTCAAATTCTGGGATATTACAGACACCCCACCCCTTCTGAGGGTGGGACACAGCTACACCCCGAGTGGGATGTTCAATTCCCCTTGCCTGGACACCCTGGCTCAGGGAGACTTTCTGGAGAACATCACACAAAAGGTGCAAGTTCCTCCAAACAGGATCTGCCTCCCCCTCACAGGGACTCCCTTTGGCCTCTCCTCCCAAAAAGAAGCTGCAGCCTCGGTGTTGTTTGGGGTTGGAGGCATAAATGGAGTTGGGAGGAAAGTTTTAGAAATGTTCACAACCTCTAAAGCAAAGCTCCAGGAAGGGAAAAGCTGATAAAGATTTATTCCAGCAAAAAAAAAAAAAAAAAAAAAAAAAAAAAAAAAAAAAAAAAA